AGTATTAATAAAAAAGATAAGCATAACTTAAATCATTTATAATTTTGAATTTTATATATTATAAATATTTTTCATTCATGACATTTATAATATTAAATGTTATTAATAATGTCCATGTACAATAAAAAATTTTTTCAATTTTTATTTCTTTTTATTTTGTACTCACAAATTACATTATTTTATACGATACATTGTATACGATACTATATCGTATAATATATAATTTAAATTTATAACAATAATATTGTAATAACAAGACGATTATGAACGCAGTTATAATTGAATGAAATTAAAAAAAAAAAAAAAACATTTCAATCAGTTGAAAATGTCGAGATACAGAGACGGGTGACTGATATAGAAAATTTGTTTATACAAATTTGGAATCAATGTACTGTTAATTTCAAAAAATGTTGATGGATGAAATTCAGATTAGATGAGTGCATAGCCTTTATATGTCTAATATTAAGATATGTTACTAAATAAAGATAAATTCCTAATAACTTCATAATCAGGTTGGTGAAACAGAGTTTTATTAAAAAATAAAAATAAATCAGTTATAGGTACATGACCTTTAGATTTTGATTTTATTAAATCAATAATATTAGTTATATTAATTTATTGTAAATAGACTATAGATTTGACTAAATACATTTTTTATATTGCTACTCAAGTAAGAAAATTATATGAAAAATATTGAATTATATTTTCAAGAATTAAAGTAGAAAAAAAAAAATATTTTCGTCGGCCTTTTACGAAAATAAATTTAAAAAAATTTCATTTATCTATAAAAAATGAGATTACAATCAAAATCTTTTCAATGAATATTATTTTTTGAATTGGGTCAAAAAGAATTTAAATTTGTCGAAATTTGTAAATATTTCCATGTATTTTGTAGTTATCTAATCTTCAGTATTTTTTAAATTATTAGTTGAAAAATTCATAAAATGACCTTTTGTCAAGATCATGTCTTAAGACAAAATAAAACACACACATAAACTTGATAAAAATAGGTTTTTTTATTAAAAAAAAAAAAATGTATAATATTTGTCTTATGATAAAAACATGTTTTTATCAAGTTCAATGTAATTGATTACAATAAAGTCTTATGGTTGTATATACATAGGCACTACCAACATTGACAATAGGATGGTGTATCTGTATACCATAAAATTAATGGTATTAACCATAATTTGTTTTTTTGATTTTATAAATAATTGTTGCTCTAATTCATGTTTTCCTTGTAGGAATTCTTTAAATGCTATTCTTTATTTATTTTTTAAAATTATGATTTCAAGTACTAATAATTAAGGCTTTTTAATAAATGTTCAAATAAATATATATTCCTGGATGTTTTGATGTAAGAAAATGGTGTATGTATAATAATTAATAAATAGTACATAAAATTTAATTTAATACATTTTAGATACGAGAAATAAAGCGATAAATTAAAAATAGATGAAATATTTTACCTTTTTTTCTCTAGTCAATTTTTAAACAGCTCTAGTTAATAAATTAACGAAAATTCTGCCAGTATAAAACATTTTAAAGTAGGTACGAAAATACTTTTCTCAGAACCTTGAGAATAGAGAACAATTATTTTTCATAATAAGTAACTTTTTTCATATAAATATTGTATTTAATTTAAAAAGTAATAATAAAAACACCAATTTATAAACAAATAATAAAGCATTCATATTACATGTAATTCAAGGTAATTTACAATCAATTTTTGTTTTACACAGGTCATAATGGTAAAACGATTAAATATAATTTATGAAAATTTAATTATTAAATATACATTGGAGGGTTCAAGTAATCGGATAAACAATAAATAGTATGAAAGTTGGGAAGAACATTATTAACTATGACTACTTATACTATTACATTATATTATTATTTAATTTTTGTAGGTAATGGGTCAATTTTAACGGGTCTAGTAATGTCTAGTCTGGAATAATTTTTTTCCATATTATTGTTTTATTACAATTTTAATCAACGATCATTAGAATAAAATATAATTATTCGATCAGTTTTAATATAAATAACGTGTCAGCAAAATGATTTATTCATAAACGAGGATGGGTAAAACTATTTTAGGCCACACATGCCATTTAAGAGGAATTTATGAATAATTATAAATAAAGATGCATTATAGATTCTTAATATTGTAAGTAATAATATTTGACGGAAAAGTATTATTCGTAGCGCACTTAATTTTTGAGAACTTTGTCACGCATGTAATTAAACATTATTTTTATGGTTTCATGTATCAAAAAAATCGTTATCGGCGTGTTCATTATAATGTAATTTATGCTATAAACAGTATATGATGATACAATATGAATACTATATTAATATAGGTGTAAACAAACTATTAGTGTATTAAACGTAACTTCATGTTTCGAATATACATAATTATAGTGGTATCCAGGAGATGTACTGTAGGGGGGGAGAAGATTTGAGCTTTTTTTATAGATATTTTTATATTTTTTTGGTAAATAGGATAAAATAAAATTTAAAAATGTTATTGAATTCAACTGATTATAACTTATAATTAGATTTAAATTTTAAAACAAATTAATGAATGTTCTTTAAACATGAAAATATGTATTTATAAATTGTCAAAAATGCCTTAAAGAATTAATTTTAATCGCAATAATGCTCTTAATAATAGTCTACAAAAGTATTAACAAAGTTTCTAACCGCTTCATTAAAAATAAAGATTTAAATAATTTACAACAGCTGAAATTCATTTTCTTAGAACTATGCCTTCTAAAGTTTTGAGTACACTAAAATATTATAAAATAATTATATTATACTAATCGTTCGTACTTTTGATACAAAAATTTGTTAAGTACGTTTTTTTTTTTTTTATTTATTATCATGTTTAATAAATTCATAATTGAAATAATTGGTTTTATTTTACTTACATTTTTTTTAATTATGTATATGCATACGCTAAAAGTATATAAAATTATCTATAAATAATAAATAAGTTTCATTTAAAACTTTTAGCCGAAAAGCTATGTCTTAGGATTGCAGCATTTAAATGTGAAACCTTTTTTTTTTTTTTTTCATTAAGAAAGACGAATATTTTCAATGTACACTATGAGTAATGTATAAAATATTTACAGAGCTGACAGATTTATTTAAGGCCCCATCTAGTAATGCTACTTCAAAAATTTAACACTTATATTTATTAACCATTATTATACTTATTACGGATAAGTTGTTAGTTATAATTTATACATTTTATATTTCATTTTATTTTATCGGATTTCTATATTAACTGTATGAAAATATTTATAGAACTTCAGTTTGCATAGAATTAGTTCTTTCCGCTTTAAAGATGCATTAATTTGCAGTTAATTTGTATTAATGTTAGGTACTTGTATTTAAAAATCATTCCTCTCAAATAAAATAATGTATTGTTTCGCTATTGCTGTTTTAAACTGGGATAAGTATTGAAGAAATAGCGATCTACCGAGTTCTTTTTGAATAAATCATTTTTTTTTTTTTTATTGCAAAAAATAAGTTCAATAGGTCATTCATTCATATGGTTTTAAATAAATAGATACCTAAACCGCGTGTATCATAAATTATCACAGGTAATGCATACATAATATTCAAAATATAATGATATTCCAGAAACGTTTACGTTCTTCAGTCGCCGAGGTGTCACACGTATATGTGTGTTTTATGAATACCTAAACCGTAGAGGTTATTTACTTTTTTATTTTATTTTTTATTTTTTCGATATGATAGGCTCGATGACTTGGATATAGACGGCGGTCGTCCGTCGTTGTCAATGACGGCGTGTATGCGTATTTAATATAAGACGTCTCCGTTACCCGTTGGCGAATATAAAAATGCCAAGGACACACACACCGTGGTCTTGTTAGTCACCGTCGAAGGGGGAACATACTACTACTATATACGGCATCACATTTTAGTTAGTAGAGAAAGCACTAATAATAATATATAGCACTCTCGTGTACAGCCGCGTAGAATTACGGGTTTCGCGGTAGTCGGGTGGTCGGGGAATGGTAGGGACTTAGTAAGGAGCGTGAAGTATATATAGTGAGGGATATATTATATAGAAGGGAATGGACGGTAATCATCGCTGGTGATGATTCGCACACGTTTAGGTATTCGACTTGCCTGCGCGACGCTCGTGATGCCCTCGTGTCGTCGATACCATCGTCTTAGCCGCCGCATTCTTCTACTTATTTTTTTCCTTTCCCCGCCGCACTCACATCTCCTCGGGCTCAGTACTCAACTTTTGTCCTGCCACCTCTTCGCTACGTCCCGCTTTCAAAGCCAATATATCTCGTTGAACAATCATTAGCGGGCCACTGCTGAGAAGCAATAAATGCCGCCGGGTCGTCTCCTTGACTCACTTATATATATATATATATATGTGTGTGTGTATGTGTGTGTGTATGTGTGTGTGTGTGTGTGTGTGTGTGTGTGTGTGTGTGTGTATGAGTAAAAGGTACCCGCAGAGGAGTGCACATACCTTTTAAGGGATATCGATGGAAGTGGAAAGGGGTATATTCCTTCTATATCGATGATGATCGTAACTGTGGAATCTCAGGAATCCGTCACCGCAACCGCAGCCGTCGACACCACCAACGACGACCGGAATAATAAAATTTAAAAAATATTTAAGTCATATTATACTCTCTACCACCAGTTCAACCCCCGTTAGGGAAGTAGGATGTTCTCGCGTTCCTATTATTAAATTATAATATATAATCATCAGTGTTCGGTTTCAACATCAATAGCCAATCGTTACGCGAAATTACAATTCATCGTGTTATAAATAAATATGTATATTAATAAATATAATATATAATATATATAATATCATAATAAATAAATACATATGCATATAAATACCTGTAATAGCGATGATTCGATGGTTGTGACATCGTCTGCAATAAATATCGTCGAATATTTTAATATTGTTTATAACTATTTAACAGTAAACTCCAAGAATGGCCGGTGTAGCAGCGAAAACGTCAGCAATGTTCAACAACGGCGTAACCAGCGTCGAGGTCGTAGACAGTGATAATGATGATATTGGTGTTACTAGGAGTGGGATTAAGAGGTTTTTGGTTCCATCAGTGAATAGATTTCGGCAACTTTTCACTTCGTCTCCAACCAGCATGGCTAGTAGCACTAAACGTTATTGGCGTCGGCGTCAAAACAAACAGGACACCGAGAACGACCAATATTATGACCAGGTCGACGAACAAGACGAATATAGTGACAAACAGGAGCTACACCAACAAATAAACGACGGGAACGGTAGCAAAAATCACGATGTGGAAGAAGCTGACGATGATGACGAAGAGGATCAAGACGAAGATAGGCAAGTACGAAAAAAAATGCTCAGAAAACAAAATAAAAAGGAGGTTGAAGTAAAGAAAAAAAGTAAGTATTTTTAAACTTTCAATTACATTTAATTTTAATATTTCGATAACATTTGACACTGGAAATTACGATGTTTAGAAAACACTGAAATACGATTATTGCTGGCTAAATCTACCGATGATACTAAAAATAACGCAAAAATGATGTCTGAATCAACGGCAGTTGTCACAATAATGGACGAACTCGACTTTAAAGAAAATTCAAATGCTAATGATAGCGAGAGGGAGACTTGGGAGAGGAATGCAGATTTTTTGTTATCAATTATTGGGTTTGCTGTTGATTTGGCGAATATATGGCGATTTCCATACTTGTGTTACAGAAATGGAGGAGGTTTGAATAAATATAATAAGACGATTCGGTCGAGTATTTAATTTATGTTTTATGGAATTATTGTGTTACAGGTGCATTTTTGATACCATATTTTCTAATGTTGATATTTGGTGCAGTACCTCTATTTTATATGGAACTAATACTAGGCCAGTTTAATAGACAAGGACCGATAAGTGTGTGGAAGAACGTGTGTCCTCTTTTTAAAGGTATGCATAAAATCAACTATTATATAACACCTATTAAGTCAGTATTTATTTTAAATTTAAATTTTAACGTTAAGGTAAAATTATAAATATTTGGAAATTTATTATTATTAATTTTTTTTTTTTAAAAATTAGTTTTCTGAAAATTTCAATTCAAAGTATTTATCAATATTTAATAAGAAGTAAACGATTATTGTTAAATAGTTAATCATGAATAACTTATAGATACTACTCGTAAAATCTGTTTTAAAATAATTATGTGTAATTATTCTAATACTAGTATTTATGAATTAAATCTTAATTTTAAAATTTCTAATTTATCTTAACCATTAAGATTTAATTTTTGATACATTCGTAATTTAGATTATAATAATTTTAAAAATTATGGAATTTATTAATGCGTATTTGATAGAATTATCAAATGTTAAATGAATAAAGTAAATTTTATTATTTACCTATTAAATTAATAGAATGAATTAAAAATATAGTAATATAGATAAATTTTATACTTCAATTTTTGTGTTGTATAAGGTTTTAAAAAATTATTGTTTTTTAAAAAATGAAGGTGATTCAATTTTTTTTATAAAAGATCATCCTAGAAGTAATATTTTTTTAAATATTGATGATATTTATATTAATGAAGTATAATTTTTAGGTGACTATGATATTGTTGAATTATTTTTAATATGTTTTCATCTTTTATAACCTTTGTTGGAATAAATTATAATAGTATTTATAAATAAATAAATAAATAAATGATTATCATGGAGTATAAGGTAACCGGCATTTTCAGCTAAAGTCATTTCGACGAAAAATGTTTCGGCAAAACTTTTTCGGAGTAAAGACATTTTGCCAAACGGTCATTTTGACGAATGGATTTATGTTAATGTGACACACGTTAATGTGAATACTGTTTTGGTCCGAGATTAATTTAACAATGAATGTTATGATAGTGTATACGTTTGGTACATTATAAACGTGAAATAAAAACCAAAGAAAAAAATGCTTAACAATATTTGTCAATAATTGGTTATTTCTACAAATAAAAATGATCTGATTTTAATACAGTCATAAAGCATCTGTTAATGTGCAAAAATGTACAAGTTTAGGGCAGAATAATCGATAACTTAATTTTAGCTGTAAAGTATAACGTGATTCAATTTTGCAATAAAAATCAAACAAGTAACGACACTAGTATTTCAGTAGATATTTTTAACTGTTTTATATACAATGAATATGTCAACGAACTAATCAAAACCAAAACTGGTTAATGGTGGATATTTCTGCACATAAGATATTTCTATATTTAAGACAAATATCACAAAGAAAAATTAAATTAAAATAAAATAATAAACATTAGACAGCATTAAAAAAAAGATGGTAAACTAATTAAATAAAAACAATATCGGTTACTTGAACAATTTGGCATTCAATATTAACCTTACATTTTTAATTTTGTTTTTTTTTAAATAATAAAAATATTTTTTATTCGCGAATTATATTTATTTGCACTTTCGCCGAAATATCCTAGTGCCATAATATTATTATATTTGTAAAATACGACCGATTTCAAATTAAAATTGAATTATTAGGTATATATAAAGTCAATAAAATCGTCACTTTTATTTTTTTTATTTTGTATGAGTATTAACCATTAATTAGTTTTTAATTTTAATTTAATTTTTATTATTTTATTGTAATTTGTATATTAAGAGATTAAAAAAGGATATTGTGTTTATAAATTTAAAAGGCCGATTTGAGTATTTTATAATGTAAACTGATGGTACACAATTCGCCTTATTACTTTTTTTTTGTACCGTAATAGCTTATGGTTTGAATACTGGTTTAGGAAATGAAAATATTCAAATTTACAATATAATATCTTAAAGTTTGATTTGAATATTATATTTATTAGTATATAATAAAAAATGTAATGAAAGTGTAATGTAAATTCCAGGACTTAATGGGATAGAATAAAAATTCAGCACGACGATGTATTATTATCAGACATTTAATGTTAAAATTAAACTGTGCTATTCTTTATTGAATTTAAACATGGAATATTATAGTATTTTCGTTTGAGTATGCATGCTGAATATAAAATTACTATTTTTTTTTCGGAAAAAATAAGATAAAGATATAAACAATGTTTATTAAACATACATTGTACTATAGCGTTTATGATTCAATTAGATTTACATGTGCATTTAGGATATAATATTATACCATAGTGTTTATGTTTCAATTAGATTTACATATACATTTAGAATATTCAAAGAATACTAGAATACCCATAGTTAACATTTGCAATAAATAATTTATTTAAATAATAAAAAGTACAGGTGCAATCGAATAAATACATAAACAAATTTCAACAAATCAATAAATGAGTATAATATCGAAATGATAGAGACTGTTTATTAAAATATATGTTTCGCAGCATTAGGATAGACCAGCGGTTCCCAAAATTTTTTTTCCGCGACACCTTTTTTTCGCTGCAACTCGTTTGCGCACATTCAAAATTTTTTACCTGAAAATCGACGACTCGTTTACGCATAACAAAATCAGTCGTTTACCTGAAAATAGATAACTCGTTTGCGCACGACACATTCACACACATGACACGTGTATATATATATATATCGTCACAGACTGCAGTACAAATTATCATATATATCATTTTAATATTATCTTATAATCGACTGTGTAGACTGTAGATTATATAAATTTGGACTTTCCAAACAACTTTTAATAAAGTTTCGGTAGGTATGGACTATGGATATGGACGGTACAGTGGTGATTAGTGTATTGACGACGCAAACTTTAATATAGCGAAGAAATTTCTAATATTTTTGAATCTCGGTGAGGAAAACGATGTTTTAATATTGATAATTATAAATTTAGTGAATACTGTGTTTTAATGAGTGGATGTTCAAATTTTAGATGCAACAATAAAAAATGTCCAGAGAGTGTTATTGTTAATAAATCAAACAAAATAATAAAAGTAAACAACTCTCATAATCATGAGGAGTATAATAGTCAATGATAATAAGCTAACGAGTTCGTCACAGGTAGCCAAAATATATGTGCGCAATCGGGCTGCATCACGATTGCGTAATTTTTCCTTTTTTGACCCGACTAATTACACCACGGTTGCGCAAAAATTTGTAACACGATTGCGCCCCGATCCCTTTTTACCTGATAAAATCTCAACACCATTGCGTACCAAATAATAATATGTGTATATACTATGTATAATAATTTAAGTATAATATAAAATAATATACAATACATACTTTTTACATATAATTTACATATACATGCACTCAAATTTATTACCTATTAATTCACAATTTTTCTTCCCAATTATTACAGACTTAGGACTGTCAACAAATTATCATCGTTGGCTTAGTTAAAAATTGTTTTCTTTCTAAATTACATGTATGCTAAATGTATAGTCAGTTGTCATTCGGCAAGTGTACTGAACGGACGACTATTGTTCGTATTGCGAGTTTGTGCCTTATTCTTTTATTTATAATTAAAACGTAAAATTTGAATTAATTATGACTACCGATATAAATTGTGGCGTATGTAATACTCAGTTTGCCGATTTAGACATACCCATAAAATGCGATGGATGTGCTATTTTCGCTCATAATAAGTGTTCTGGACTTACTACTTCAGAAATCAAATGAATTGCTTCAAAAAACATAACTTTGAAATACTTCTGTGCTAGTTGTGATCGTGGTCTCAAGGACTTGCCGAACTTAAAAGTGTTGTTAAATAAACTGCTCTTGGAAGTAGAAGGGTTAAAAAATTTAAGCTATTCGAGTTCCAGTCATTCCGTTGATAGTGAGTTTATTATAAATTAAATAAATGATCGTAATAGTCGAGTTACAAATTAAATTTTTTACAATGTTGATGAATGTGACTCAAATCGTCCTGAAGATCGCATTGCACATGATTTTAATCAGATTAAAAGTGTAATTAATTCTATTGGTCTAGACTTTGATATCGTACCATTAAAAGTTATTCGTTTGGATAGTTTTCTAAGTAATACATTTCGTCCAATTAAAGCTGTATTTTCGACTTCATCTCATATTTATGATATTCTTAACAATAAACGGAAAGTTTCTTAACACGTTCCTCCTTCTCGGATTAATATTAGTTCGGATCGGACTATTTATCAAAGAGATTTAATGAAGAAGCTGCGTGAAGAATTGGTTGCCCGTACATTAAATAGTGAAATTGGATTAGTCATAAAGTTCATAAAAGGCATTCCGAAAATAGTCAAAAATACGGAGGTATCAAGGTCCAAACCTCAACATTTTTTAATTTTGAAATAGGCCTTTGTAATTACAATGTATTTAGAAATGATAGGGATTCTTTAGTTAATAGTAAAGGTGGTCGAGTTTTATTGACAATTAAAAATATTTATGATTGTTCTGTAATTAATGTTAATGATATCCCTGGTATACAAAAGATTTTTGTTAAGATTAGGTATGATGGTATACTTTTATATACTCTTAGGTTGCGTGTATATACCTCCATCAACCCACATAAATTTTTATATGAAGCATTGTGAGACAGTTGAAAATATTATACATAATTATTCTTTTGTTCATGTACTTATAATTGGTGATTTTGATTTATCTGGCTTCCCGTGGTCTGATTATGCATTATGTAATGATAAAATTGAAAATATCATAAGACAATCGTATTTAAATTATCTAGGTTTAAAACAAATTAATAATGTTGTAAATACACGCAACGATATTCTAGAGCTAATTTTAACTAAATCTGCAATTGATAAAATATGTGTAGGCTGTTATCTTACTCCTCTTATTGATTCTTATCATCCTCCACTCGACTTTCTATTTTCTAGTACAGTTTCTAATGATGTTCCTGAGCCTTATAACCCTACTGTTTATAATTTTAATAGCTGTAATTATAGTGATATTATTTCATTTTTATCCAGTATTGATATAAATTCAAATCTCATAGGTCTAAATACAGAAAATTCTGTTTTGAAATTTCATGATATTTTAGATCATTGTATTGATATTTTTATTCCTAAAATTAAATTAAAACTAAAATAAAACTTTCGAAATTTGTAACGTGGTCAAACTCAACTCTTAGAAACTTGATTAATTTAAAAAAAACAGGCTCATAAGAAATATTGTATTTCTAATTTGCAAAGTGATTATTTGGCTTTTTCAAATTTACGGAAAAAAATGCAAAGCTTTATCTAATAGTGTCCATGCTAATCATATTTGTAAATTTGAAAACAATATCAATATTGACGTAAAATTTGTTTGGTATTATGTTAATTCGTTAAGGTCAAATCGTTCAAATATCCCACTCTCTGTTTCTTATGATAATAGTGATGCAGATAACATTAATGATATTACAAATTTATTCGCGAATTATTTTTCTTCTGTCTACGTCACTCATAATAATATTAATCAGTGAATATTTTAATGTTTGCAGATGATGTTAAACTTTATTGTCAAATTAAATCCTCTGATGACTATAAATTTTTACAATCTAACTCAAATAAACTGGTTCTATGGAGTAAACGTAACTAACTTTCTTTAAATTATGATAAATGTAAAATTATAACTTTCTCATGTAGTAAAAGTGCTTTATTTCATAATTATTTCATTAATGAATATCATTTCAAAAGATGTTTTTCAATTAAAGATTTGGTTATTTATTTTGAATTTAATTTATCATTTAAATTAAATGATAATATGATAATCAATAAATCCTATAGAATGTTAGGTTTTATAAATAGAAATACCAAAGACATTAGAAATCCCTTATGTCTTAAAAGCTTGTATTTTTCACTAGTAAAATCAAATCTTGAATGTGGTTCTTTAATTTGGTCTAATCATTATTCTACTTATATTAATAATGTAAATAATATTCAATTTAAATTTTTAAAAAAAATTGCTTACTTAATTCACGGTCAAATATCAAGAGATTCTTTCCATTTGGTTCAAGATTCTATAAATATTGATTCTCTTCAAATAAGACGCAATATATTGGATATAATGTTCATTTATGATATTTTAAATGGTTCGTAATCTGTCCAGATATTTTAAGTTTGATTGGTTTCAAAATACCAGGTAAAAACATATGAAATTTAGATTTGTTCTATATACCCAAATTTATTACTAATAGTGGCAAAAATTTATTTATTTTCCAGAGCACTTTTAATTGCTAATAAAATCCACGCGGTTCTAGATTTTTTCGTTTTATTTTGCTAGGTTTTTAAAGATAATATACTGTTATTTTTGAAACATGGTGCTTAATTTGTTATTCTATATTTTTAATATTTTGTTATATTTATCTCTTATTGTTTGTGTTATCTTAAAAGTATTTGTATTATTATTTTATTTCATTATTCATTACTCATAGATCTTTTTAGTTCTTATTACTCTTTATACTTGTGTCATTACCTTTTTTCTTTTCACATAAACTTTCTTGTTTTGTTAAAGGGCTTACGCCCGTTGAATATTCAAATAAATAAATAAATATACTGATATGGTCAATAGTCGAAATATTTTTTATTAAAAATTGTTTTTTTTTCTTATCTGATAGTCATTAGTCGATATTATTATTTCAACTATCATTAGCTCAATCAACTTTTCATTTCTATTTGAAAAAGTGCATTTTGTGAATTAATAGTTTTAATGCATGTATATGCAAATAATAGAAATGATGTATTATATACATTATTTTATGTTGTACATAAATTATTATACATAGTATATACACATAATTTGATGCGCAATCGTGGTGTAATTAATTGGGTCAAAAAGGAAAAATTGCGCAATCGTGATGTGCCGGCGCAATCGAGCCTTTAGAAAGTGGTCGTGGTGCCCCTAGGGAACCACTGGGATAGACTATGTATGAGAGGGTGTAATTATTACATAAAATCATTTTACAGTGCTTCCTTTCAGACAATATTAGCTAATATAAGTAATAATATTAGTATTGTTTGTGAGTTATTTTTTGTTATGTCACTGAGTAAGGGCCAATGAGAATGCAGTAATTGGAAAAAATTGAAAGTAAAGTTGATTGTGCACACATAAATTTTTTAAACTCAAAGAATTTAAGCAGTTAATAGCTCAAAAGAAATAGCATGATCCACTGAGTGTTCTTAGACTTGTGTCAATAGTCTACGTTAGTTATAACTCTAGTTATAGACGTTTGATTGAAAAAAAATCTTGAAAAAATTGAATGTAAAGTTGACTGTGCAAGCGTAATTTTCCTCGAACTCAAGGAATTTAAGTAAATAATAGCCCAAAAGAAAGAGCTTGATCCACTGAGTGTTCTGAGAGTAAAACGATCAAGATCTACTCATTAAAAGAGGAGTTATGAGAATTCGAATGTTGCTTGAGTGAATGTGACCCATAAGAAATGTACAGGGGAGAATCGCATTGGTGGGAGTTGAGTAAATTTCAATGATTGATGACATATGTGCGTCTAAACACCTTTCATTAAAAAAAAAAAAAAATGAAGGAAGTCGGCCGGATAGAATGGCCAGACGGATTTTAACTGACTAACTTTGTTTTCATATATTTTTTTAATATATAAGATGGCTTATGTTTACATTATTTTAAAAATAAGTATTTTTTCAATTATATTTCTTTTTTTGAAAATTGAATTAATTTCTAAGGTCTATGATGTATAATTAAGTGAGAACCAATGAAATGAATAATGTATTTAGAAATTAGTTACATATTGTTGTATCAAACGTTTTTGTGTCTGAAATAACTGTTATTTGTTTTATTATGAGTCATAAAATCATAGTATTCTTATTACAGCAACAAAGTTTCGTTAAATATATTTGAGTTTGTGAGCTATTTTCCTTTAAAAATTGGATTATTGAAGTTGAATAGTAAGATTTGGAACGAATTAATTGAGGTAAAGATTTTTTTAACAACTGCACAAATTTTTAATATGTTACTCAATATTTCAGTACTGCCATATAGTGATACTTTTCCAGTAATTACCTACTGAATTTATTAGAATATTTTTCTCTATTTCATATGTATATACTATTAGAGTTATCACAAATCTTATGTATTATTTTTTAAAATTATTGTTTTTAGTTTTAAAAAAAAAATATTGAAATATCTATTTTCTTTAATTTTGTTGTTTTTATATTATTTTTGGTTCACGTGATTTTATTTTTATTTTTTTAGGTGTTGGATTTTGTGCTGTGCTAGTAGCATTTTACGTTTCATTTTACTACAATGTTATCATTGGTTGGTCACTGTATTTTCTCGCAATGAGTACTACAAGCAGTTCGGGACAGTTACCGTGGGTGCACTGCAATAATACCTGGAACACAAATTCATGCGTTGAACAAAAAGATGACGATTGGGCAGCAGTCATCAATGGTTCAAACCAAAATTATAATTATTTACCAAGGATGCACGCAAACGGAAGTTTACTTGTAATGTTAGATGGTACATCTGATACAGGCAGTAATTTTAACGACCAGAGTTCACCAGCAGCCGAATATTTTCAGTAAACAAAATTTCAATAATAATTAATATTGTATTTTTATCCGTAGGTTATAGATTCTAACGATTAGTACAGTTAAAAGCATACATTTATTTATTTAACAATCGAATGCATTTCATTACAGTTTTTATTACATATACCAATATAGAATAAATTTAAATTTTTTATTTTTTAATTTTGGTAAATATAGAAGATGTAATGCGATTATGATTTGTTTTCTGGAGATAAAAATAGGGCTTTTAAACAATTAATTTCGACGAATTTACAATATAATTTAAATATTATATTTCAACATAATATACGATCGACCAATTTACCCTAAATAAATGTGTGGTCTGTATGTTTATATCCATCCCTAGCTTTAAATTATTATTAAATAATGGTAACTAGTAACTTTGTTACTTGTTTTCCTTATAAATAACACGATAAATAATTACGAAAAAATGAATAAACAATATTCTCTGAAATGTTATAAAAATGGAATTACAGGGTGATTTGTTTTGATTTCCCAAATAGATTTCTCGGCATCATTATGATATGGGAGTATGGTTTTAGTTGTTTTATTTTAGTTAGGTCACCGAGGAATTGTTACATAGTAAGTGGCGCGTCATGTGTATTGACGTATTCACGCGAAAAATTCCATGGACTATGAACCAGACATTCTCTCTAGGTTTTTCTAAATATTAAAATAATAAAATCTAATGATTGAAATGCAGGTTTCAGTTCGAATGAATAAACAAATTACACACAAAGGCTACTATGTATAAGAAACTTTTAGAGTAGTCAAAAGTTTTAAACATTTTACAAACTATAAAGAATGAGTAGTAGTTTTATGAGCTGGTCATAAAGATTTGATGCTCTAAAATGCTTGGCTCTAAGCGAGAACGATTGGTCAAAAATCGGATTTATTTCTACGAATTGCGATGAAATATATACAGTTCCGGATTTAGCAGGGATACTAGGAATACAATATACAAGGGCTTTAAGACCTAAGGGTCTAAATCCAAAATTTTAAATTTAAATTGTCTGTTTCGTTATTTTGTTTGTTTCTTTGTACTTTTTTTTTATATTTATTCATTGTATTTCATTCCAAAACTTCTGATATAAAATTTATAAATCAAAATATCTGAACCTATATTTTAAAGTTCTGCGTAAAATCAAAAAAAAAGTTACTTTTATAAACTTTTTTTTTATGTTTCTAATTGGTATTTATAACCCGGATTTCTGAAACTTAGATCCAGCACTGAATATATAATAATATATTAATTGAAAATATAATAATATTTACGTTTATCCATGTAAATTACAAAAAGTATTATTATTCAGAGAATATTTGTTTTAAAAGAAGTATAAGAAATATGAATATTTTAAATAATAATTCATCTAACTGATAATTAAATGTTTCGTTACACATAAGTAATAAATATATATATATGTAAAAAAAAAGCTTCTTTAAAATACCAACAGTCATTATAGGTGAATAAATAAATAAATCATTAAATACTTAATCAAAATGTAACTGAATAAAATATAAATTCGATTAATATTAGTAGATAATAAATCGTGCGGAGTATTCTATTAGCGAATTAATTCAAAAATAATAAAAACTTGCAATTTATCACGCTACGTCACAATTTATCATTGATTTTTTTATAATTCGAAATATATTTTAAGTCATAATTTAAAATTTTTATTTTTCCTTTTCAAAGCCGAGGCGTACTTGGCATGCAGATGAGCGATGGTCTTAACGAACTAGGGTATCCGAAGTGGCAATTGGCGTTGTGTGTATTCATCGTATACGTTATGCTGTACTTGAGTTTATTTAAAGGTGTAAAGTCATCTGGTAAGTACTTAATTTGTAAAATGATAAACGACTCGCACAATGAGCCCAGTGCACGTATTCATTCACATCAATCATTCAATACACCGAATTTAGTGAATGTTGAGTGGGGTATATAAACTTTCAGGTATCGTCGTTTGGGGCACAGCCACACTGCCTTATTTGGTATTGACAATATTGTTGATCAGAGGACTCATGTTGCCAGGCTCTTTAACTGGCATCACCTATTATTTACAACCGGAACTGTACCGACTTTTAGATACACAAGTAACGTTTAAATATATTGCTTGGATAGTATAATCCCACGTTTAGAGCGCTATTCAAATTGTGCGTGACGTATATATTAATATATTTCTCCCGTCCGCAGGTGTGGGTGGACGCAGCCGTTCAAATATTTTATTCAGTAGGAGCCGGGTTTGGTGTTCACCTGTCGTACGCGTCATACAATAACATAAAAAACAATTGCTACACGTATGTACAGCGCATCTATAAATTGTAGATAATACGACTGCGTGTGGTGTTCTTGGAGTATAATATAATTACGTAAATGTATAAATTATGTTAATTATTTAGCGATTGTTTGATTACGACGGCTGTCAATTGCTTTACCAGTTTCTTTTCGGGTTTTGTGATATTCACTTATTTGGGTTTCATGTCGCACAAACAACATAAGCCTATAAGTTCTGTGGCCACCGAGGGTGAGTTCTGATATTTACCTGCGCCATCCTGTGGCCCTGCGGTTTCGATCTATAACGGAACGTTCCATTTGTTATTTTACAATTATTGTTATTATCATTTACCACGTTTTCGATTCATATTATTTAGGTCCCGGTCTAGTATTCCAAGTGTATCCTGAGGCTGTGGCAACGTTACCAGGATCCAATATTTGGGCTATGCTGTTCTTTTTCATGTCCATCACGTTGGGCATAGATTCTGCGGTAAAATTATTTAAACCGTTTTCTACCGAAATAAATTAATTTTCATAATAATAATAATAATTAAAATAAATGCTAAAACCGAACAAACAATGCAATTCAGTATGGTTAGTACATATTTTATCTATTTTTTTTTTTAGATGGGTGGATTAGAGTGCGTCATTACTGGACTGATGGACGAATTTAATGGTTTTTTCAAAAAACAGAAGTGGCCACGCGAACGTTTTACGTTCGCAGTCATAGGTATTTCGTTTTGTGTGGCTCTGATAAATGTAACACCGGTAAATTATGAAAATTATATATGCATATTATATCTATATACATTTTAATGTTTAATTTTTATTTCACAAACCATCCGTTTACTTTACTCACGTGTTAACTTTAGGGTGGCATATATATGCTTCATTTGTTGGACACATATGCTGCTGGTATATCTCTGTTGTGTTCAGCACTGTTCGAATGTTTAGCTGTATCATGGTTTTACGGTAAACGAGTTAATCATTTTTCTCTTTTTGGATGTTCAAATGTATTATTGTTTTTAGGATTGGAGAAATTTTGTGATGACGTGGAAAACATGATTGGGCACCGTCCAGGGTTATATTGGCGAATATGTTGGAAATTTATTAGTCCAATGTTTATCATAGTAAGTTGGCCAACAATCTTTAAATTTAAATGTCTACTATTTGTAAGCATTTTTTCTTCTCACATGTAATTTTTCAATTTATAAAATAACCGGAAAATTCCGAAATTATTAAGACAATAGGAACTAGTTGTTGAGAAACGTGTTCGTGTATGGAAAATAGATCAATTGATTGACACGTGAATTTTAAAAAATGTTTTATTTATTTGGCAAGTAATTCATTAAGATTGCTAAATAATACTGTTAAAGTTACATTCAGTACAGAGTCCTTAAGTATATTTAGTTATATTATAAGAAGTTCATAATAACTTGATGTGCCTTAAAGGCTTTAATATTGAAAATACGTAAATTTACATAGTTTTAACAAGAATTAATGAATAGTAATCAATACAAATGTATGATTTCATATCACTCTTTAACCATATAATTAGTGACACAAGTAATATTTGTTTTAATTACAAAGAATACATAATGTGAACAATGAAAAATATTTTACAAAAAACTTCATGTACTAAAAATGAATATATATCACAAATTAGAGTATAAATGTTCATTTTTATAATATAAAATATTTTATGTAATATCCATTGACAAAAAGACTAAAATAATTATTCGTATAGTTATTTATTATCTTATGATAGGTAGATTTATACGATAATTGCGGTGAATTATTTATGATAAAACTGATTTATATTAAAACATATCCCTCTATAACTGACTATAACAATATAAATATAGTTAAAAAGTAATTTTGTCTTTAAAAGTTATAAGAAATTTAAAAAGTAATTAAATTTAACCAAATATTGATAAAACACAAAACAAAGAAAAACATTAATTGAGTATACTATAAATAATTTTATTTTCTATATGTATTTTATAAAAATCCAAAAACGAAAATGTTATTACTACAACTCATTAAGCGAACTACTGAGGAACTAAAAAAAAAAAATTAAAAAAATATTTCATCGTCTTTAAACAATTAATTTAATTGAATCGAGTATCTTCATTTTCTTTATTTTTTTAGTGCACAAAATATTATACAAATTCGCAAAATGTGTAACACAGATGTTTTATTATTATTAACTATGTATTTTTAAATAAAAAAAAAGTAAGTACAGTAACTTTGTATAAAAACAGCCTCTATAGCAATCGAACAAATAACAATATTTATAATATTAAACCATTTGAAATATATAAAATTAATGACATGAAATTAATTTATCAATATCAATATCTAAAAATTAAATGTTTTATAACTTTACTAATTGCATGAGAGTGATTTTATCGGTAAATTAATTTGATTCGAAAATCAAAATCTTATTATTATTTTACGTAATAATTATTCAATTGTTTTTTATTTACAGGGTGTTGTGACTTTTGCTTTGATTTATCACCAACCTCTGACTTACAACGGTTACGTGTATCCAGAATGGGCTGAATGGCTAGGTTGGACTTTAGCCTTTTCATCAATACTAATGATACCAGGAATGGCTATAGTGCAAATGTGTAGAGCCAATGGCTCGTTTAAAAAGGTAATTAAAATGCACAAAAAAATTGACTTGCGTATTACTATAATGTTATACACGAATGTTAAGTACAAGTAATACACAGTAATATAATTTTATTTTTATAAGGATTTAATATTAAGTTTATATTCCTACAGAGATTGGCTTATAATATTACGCCAGCCAGTGAACACGAGTCTATGGAAAAGAACAAGGGCGAGTGCACAAGATTCCGTTTAAAGCACTGGCTATACATTTAATGTTATTACTATTTTAAATGTAAATCAAATGTATTGTTCGATATTACTTTGTATTTAATTTTTAATTTTTTTCCTCCTATAACTACACGAGGAAGTAGGTATACTTTTTACCAACACAATTTATATTAAAACCTTAAAATATAATATACAAATATTTATAAATTCATTTAATCAAATTGATAATATTAATATTCAGAGCCGGATTAAGAGGGGGGGGCTAAGTGGGCTATAACCGAGGACCCCCAAAAAAATAATATGGGCTTACAGCTTTTCTACTTACTACTCTTTTTTTTTTTTTAAAAAAAATATAATTTTAACAATATTTATTTAAAGATACAATCATATTAATAATTTGAAATAATTGTCTATGACAATATGCATGTTATTGAATTAGATAGGTACATACAACACGCAATATACTGTGTTATTTCGTTTTATTTTATGGCTTTCAAAAAAAAGTTTGAAGTCGATACTTTCTTTGTTATTATAGATAAATTGATTTCTGAACTTAACAGAAGATTAAATTCTTATTATCTTTTTCTTACTCAATTCAAATTTTTAGTAAACTTTAAAACTGTCAATGACCCAGACATTGATTCATTAAATAATAGTATTCAGTTTTACATAATGATCTCGATGATAACTTGAAAACAGAATATCACATTTTTATCATTATATCAAAACAGTTTCTTCAAATATTGACAGTTGTGGTGCTATAACAAAAATTCTATATGAACGACAGCTTATTGATGTTTTTTCAAATGTATATATTGCACTGAGATTATACCTGACAATACCGTTGACAAATTTTGAAGCAGAACGTTCATTCTTAAAGTTGGCTATAATTAAAAATTGACTAAGATCTACACAGATTGAAGATAGGTTGAACGCATTAACAGTTATATCAATTGAAAATGGCATATGCAAAAAACTTTCATTTGATGACGTTTTAGATATTTTTGCATCAAGTAAATCTAGAAAAAAATATTTTAAATAATCATTTGTTTGTATTTTTGTGTTATTACCAAGGCTCGGGAGTTAAAGCATTTGCTTATTTTTATGGATTGATTTAAAATGTAGCAGAGTACTATAAAAGTGTATGTCAAGTTATAACACGTACAATTATGAAATTTGAAAGAGCCTTTTTTCAGCAATTTTAAAAAAAAAAAAAATGTTTATTTCCAGTTTTTCTGATTATTTTTGCTTATTTGACCAGTTGTTTTTATGTTTTTATAGTTTTCTCCTGCAAAGTCGTTTTTGATAGAATTAAAATTAAAAATAATTCTTATTTTATTAATTTGTCACGTTGTTCGTCGTCGTCCAAGGCATCATTGTAGAGTTAACAAAGATATTCAAACGCTGAAAAATAGAACTGAGTGTCAAACGTCAGAAAGATCGAGAACAGTTTACATTTTATAGTTCAGAAAATCCCCTTAGAAAATCCATAAAATCCTTGAAAAGTCTTGAAATTGAAGTTTTTAATTTTTTAGTTAGAATTTTATAGTTTTTTTTTTTCTTATAACAATTTTCGCTTAATTTTAAATTTTTTAAATGCTTATTTTAGTACTTATAATGATATTTTTAAGCACTTTTTTAAGCGCTAATTTTAATGATTTTAAGTGCTAAAAGTCCCGAACTCTGGTTATTATCATATATTTTAACTTTTAACTAAATTGTATTTTTTAATAAATTAACTATGTAATGTAAATTGGCTACCTGAAAAAAAATATTTTTCTTATTTAACTAATAAATATCAATTGGCATATTATTATAAAAATACTTTTTTTTGTAAATTTAGGGCCCCAAAAATAAATTAGCCCAGAGCCACTAATTCTATTAATCCGTCTCTGTTAATATTACAATTAGGTAAACAACTACTAAAATTAAGCTTATTAATCAATTATTCTGTAGGCATTTATAGTTTTTATACTAAAACTATTTATTTTTTTTTTGTAGTTTATTATTATGAAAAGTAATTTCATATATTATAGCTAGTAAGTAAGAAGTATTTGTAAAATTTAAAATTGAGTATCAGTTGCTACTTTAATATTACGTTTATATAATTATGTATGCTTGTATGCAGTATGATCCAAGATGTTTTAAACTTAATTTTGTAACTTTTATAAAGAATTTTCTATCATCAAGATAAAATTATACAACTTAATTGGATACTGTATATATTGTTATGCAAAACTGCCAAATTTTGAGTTCTAAAATGTCCTACTGTATATGTTTTAAACATATTAATAACCTTTAAAGTAGGTTTACTGTATAACATATGATAATAAATGTTTTTAATTCAAGTAAGTTATTTTTTATACACTATAAAAAATGTGTTTTTACTTAATATTATAATGCTATTGTAGTTTATAATCACTTCAAAAACATGCGGTAATCTTATTAGCGATAAATTCAACATACACACACACATTGACATACACGTGCATAAACACAGTGTATAATTCACTCATATATATACTGTTTTATATAACTGTCATATATACACAAGTATTTATAAGAGTATGTGTATTAATAATGTGTGGCAAATTAATTATATATGTAATTGCCATACAATAACTCAAAAAAAAAAAAATAAATAAGGAACAATTAAATGTAAGAAAATTAAAAAGTAAATATAATTATCTATAACCTTTATGTTATCATATTTATTGTATTGACTTTATAAACATTGATTTAAATTTTTCAAGTGATTATGCAATTATACATTTTTTTATTTGCAATATGTTTAAGACAAAACTATTAAATTTTATAGTATCAATATTAATTTAATACCTTAAGTAGTAATTCTATTAATTTGTTTTTATTAGATGCTTTAATCATTTAATATCTAATTAAAAATATTCGCATCAATTTTAGACAAGATATAATTATATAATATAATAATTATATAAGATTCTATAATTAAATAGTCTTTAAATCGCTCATTAATTATAACTGTAGTACATAATGTTTAATATCAAATAATTATTTTATTTTTGTTAGTTCATTTTTATTTTATGCTTAAAATAGTAATTTATTATCAATAAGTTAAATAAGAATAATCGAAATAATTAAATATTTTTTATAAGAATAATTAAAATTTTTATTTATTTCAAACAAAAAGTGTACTCACAATATTTATAATACTTTCCAAGATCAAACATTTGTTACATTTAATATTATGCGTGCGTTATATATTATTAAGTTTTTATCATGCATTAACATTTGTAGGATAATGTTACTATTAATATACGATAAAAATACATTACAGTAGATATTCAATTTGAATTTATGTTAAACAAATGAATTTTTGGGTATAGAAATGTTTTGAAGAAACAATTATTTTCTGGTCTATTATCTCATTTAAATCGTATAATTTATAGTTATACTTCAAATTAAAAATTATGAAATTAAACAAAATGTATAAATAATGTAATACATATTAAATATGTATAATATATACCATTAATTCATTTTCATACAATTATAATAATCTATTAAAAGTCTTTAAATATAAGTTATAAAAATTATCATGTATTTACTCTAATATTATATTAAGTAGATTGTTATGATTAAAATAAATATACATTAATGAACGTCACACATTTTTTTTTGTAATATATATTATGTTGTGCCCTGAACAAATATTTAAATTAATGAATTTGTTGGTTTATTAATTACAGGAAAAATATTTGAAACGGAATGAAGAAGTTAACGATTTTACAACAACCTATTTTTTATGAAATCATTTTTTTTTTTTTTTTTTTGTAATTAAAATAGTGACCAAAAAGTTTTATTTAAGTAACGTATTTGATACAGGGAAATTTAAAAAAGTTTATATTATTTTTTTCTACAGTTTTTTCGGCCTTATTGGATGTTTGTGTTTGAGTTAGGGAGCATTTAAAATACTTATAAAACACTTGATTTTTTTTTTTTTTTAAGATGGTTTATAAATTATAGAAAACATTTCCATTAATATTTACCGACTATATTATAATATGTTCATAATATATTTCAATAACTGTAAAAATAATTCTTATCAAATAATACTTTAAATTGTTTTTATTAATTCAAAAAAAATCTCAAAGATAGATAGGAATTTTTTTTTAATATAATAGATTATCATACCAATGTTTATATTCTTTCTCCGTTGGGATAACTTCAAATGCCATTTGCTTTACTGCAGGTATCTAACCAACTTTGAAATAATAATATTTATAATTCCTCGAAAAATTTAAAATAATTATATTATGTCTTCTATCAATTCCAAAAATGTTATTTCTCATACAAGGTATACTGTATACGTTATCTATAAGATATATAAGGTAGCGGATTAAGGTAAAAAACGTGTTGAAGGAAAAAAGCGTATTAAAGGAAAAAGTGTGTTTAGGTAAAAATATATAAATCCTGGTTAGAAATTCATAATTATTTAACTTGGTAAGTATAATTTATATATTAACCATACCTTTTTAAGTTTTATCAAAATTAGTAGTAGGTATTATTTAAATTTATTTTAGAGTATTTACATATCTCTTAAATCTTTAAATTATATTAATTAATTATTTAAATTTTATATTATATTTTATTAATAATTAAACCAATTATTTCACCTTAGTAATTTTATGTTAAAATTGTCTTTTTAATAATAAAATAAACAATTAAATTTGTTGTTAATAAAACAATTTTATAGGTATACTTAAAGTAATCAATTTTTGATTTTTTTTCTTTTTTAAAATAAATATATTTAACATTTAAAACATTAAATATTTAGTAATTGCTATACTTATATATCGATTTGGAAATGAAACAAAAGTTTAGTGCCTCAAATATTATTATATTATTATAAATTATCATTGTCTATACGAGTATTATATAGTGGGAGTGAGGTCTGCGACTCGTGTGATCTCTGATCAACTGTTTTTTTGGGGCACTGACAACAGTAGTTATTTTTTTTAATTTCTAAGAATACTAAGTAAATTATTGTGTTTAATTTATTTCAGATCGAGATATTTTCGATACTTCACTAAAATTTGATAGTTTACCATTACGTTCTACAGGTAATTAATGATTTATACCTGTTTTTTATTACACATGTGTAACTAGGTCTTTAACTTATTGGTGGATTTTATGCAGATGATGAACTTAAAATAGGTAAAACTATTCAAGGATCTTCTAAGTGTAGTAAATATGATGATAATGATATGACTGAGAAAAATCATTTAATTTATAAAAAACCGATAAATGGATGGTCTCCCAATGAGTTAAAAAAAAAAAAAAAAAAAATTAATTAATTATTATAATGTTGAAAATAAGAATTAAAAGCTTAATAAATCTTAAAATTGATTGACTTACAATAGATTTAATATAAAGTAATGTAGGTTGAATCTAGTATGAACATAATTCCAACCAAGAAGTAAGGTTTAATAGATATTTACTTAACAAGGTACAGATAACATTACAGAATAAGCATTCATTCAATCTATTTTTTTGGTTCAAATGAGATTTATGCAAGGTTTATTCTACACTTAAACGATCATAATTCAATCAAAGCTAAACATTTATTTAACTATGAACATCAGAATTACAATATTTATGAAATGCTAAATAAAAGTTTGTATGTTATGTGGGTTCATGTGACCACTATACCCCGGTTAGAACTTTGTGGTGCTGTATTACTCAGTGAGTTAACTAAAGAAGTCATTTATGAATTCAAAAAATTGAATATAAGCCTATATCAACGTGATGTTGTACTATGGTCTGATTCAACTGTTATCATCATCTGGATAAACAGCACTCAGCCACTCAAGTCTTATGTATCAAATAGAATTGCTCAAATTTTAGACAACACTGATTGTTGTTCACCTCGATGAAAAGTGGGGAAACTAAAACCATTCACGAACGCTTATTTGGCAAAATCAAGAAAAATCAGTGGGTCTAAATGTGCCGACTGGTATAGGAGGTCAGATCATTTTATATCACACAAGATGTGCTCGCGACGGATTCATTGAAAGGTCAAAATTAATATTTCGTAGTAACAGCGGAAACGCAATCAATTATCACGATCAAATGAATGGCGAGATGTTCAAACAGTGGTTTATTCAGTTGTTGAATAACCTTGAAGGGCTATCCATTATCGTAATGCATAATATACCATACCATTCTACTCTCAACAAAACTTACTCAAAAACTAATTAGAAAAAACCGACGTTCAACAATGGTTAACGGATAAAAACGTTAAATTTCATCCATTGAAACATTACCAGAACTTCGCCAAAAAGTTAACAACCTAGTTAAAAAAAAAATATAAGCTGGATGAAATCTCATTAGAAAAGGGTCATGAGGTAATCCGTCCATCACTTTACCATTGTAAATGTAACTATCTAAAAACTAGTCTGAACAGAATGTTGCCGCCGTAATAGAGATAATTACAACCGATCGACACTCACGAGCATTCGAGCAATCGGCGGTTGTTTTCGTATTTATTTTTCTTTTAATTATATTTGTCCTGTGAATTATATAATATGATAATGAGTTATCGGAGCGTTATCTGCGCAGCCGGTTCGACGGTATGCGTAGTGTTTAACACGGTCGCCGCAATTTTTTTCTTTTACAGTACTTTCCAGTAAAAAAACCGTGTGTGCGTGCAAATTATTACCATTATTATATTCGTTTTTCTTTTATGTTTTGTATCAATTTTTATTGTTATTTTTTATTGTAAGGCTACAGGAGTACCAGTTGACCAGTTTGCTCTCCACAAACTGTAAGTTCTTATTAAATTTTTTATTTATAATTATTTAATTGTTGGGCCAAAAGAGTCGTACATTTATTATTTAGTCGTGTCATAAAGACCACATACTATTTATATTTAGATTTTTGTCTGTTTGGCTATAAGGGCCGAGCATTTAAGTATTATAATTTATTCTGCTTGGTCATAAAGACCGCACATTAATTGCACACATTAAGCTTATTTTATACCTTCCTTCTATTTGGCCATAAGGGCCGAGCACTTATAAATAATTATTTTTACCTGTTGTGCCAAAAGAGCCGTAATATTATTATTACTATATTTTTTATATATTCTTTGTACCAGTATACGAAAATATTATTTAATTTGTGTTTTATACAGCAACTCATTTTTACCTCAAACGTGTTACCATTTTTTATCGTTAATTATTTGTTAAAACACTAACCATTGTGCAAAGGTTCATACAAGTCGGTCGGTGTGTTAGTAAACCACAGAGTAAGTCGGTAACCGGGCGTAGGGCCTATAATTGTACGTACCCAGTCCACACATATTGGTGATCTCGACGTGATTTTATTTGGTTATTTTATAAAATAATAATAATTATAAACTTATAAATTGTTTATCTTCGGGTTATATAGCAAATAATTGTAGATCCACTTACAGGTGTCGAACATGCAACGGTAACCATCATTCATTATTATATTTTGAAAAAAAGAAGAGAACAGAAGAGAAGGAACAGTTCAAAGGACAACAACCGGATAAAGGTCAAACACCGTCTACCTTCGGAATCCTAGTATCTGCACCTGTACCAGCAGAAATCGCCACGGGAAATCCTCACGTGTTTCTTGCAATAGCTTTAGTAAGATAAAAACGGTGGACGTCGCCAGTGCAGAGCTATCTTGGATAGTGGTTCCCAAGTAAACTTTGTATCAAAAAGATATGCAAATTTACTACAGCTAACATGTAAGAAGTCTTTATTACCAATAAGTTGCATTGAAGACAATTGGTTAAGAGCAAAGTCATGTAGTGAGTTGAAGGTCGAATCAAGAACGAATGAATTTAGCATTAAGATTTCTTGCTACGTTTTGCCTAACATTGTCGGAGAATTAGCGCCTTGTTCAGAGCCGGCAGGTGGATGGAGAATACAAGGGGCTGTATCTCCATTTTTAGCTGATCCGGATTTCCATCGTCCTCAAGCTATCGATCTTCTTATTGGAGGTGGTTCGTTCTTTGATGTTTTGGAAACAAAGAAAATAACACTAAATACAGGTTCAGTAACTCTACATGAAAGTTGCTTCGAATGGCTCGTAACGGGAGAACTTTCCAACCAGCATTTACTAACACCTATCTCGATAGGTCAAACTATAGAGGAAGATTGGAAGGCTCTCAGCAGCATTGAAAATGGAAGCTATGGCCGAGTATCAAAAGCGAATAAGAGATGTCAAGAAGAGCAAGAGACAATCCAACATTTTAAGCAATACACAATGCGTGATGAGGAGGGACGTTTTATCGTACGGCTTCCCACCAAGCAGGTGATCAGCGAAATAGGCACAACATTACCTAAGGTGACCGCACGCTTCTTGAATGTTGAGAAAAGATTACAACATGATGAGCATCTGAAGGCTGAGTACATATGATTTATGAATGAATATATTGAAATGGGACACATGGTTCAAGTAATGGATGATTCAACTCAGATGCAGAATCCCTTTTATCTACCACACCATTCGGTAAAAAAAGCATCAAGTTTAACTACAAAAGTCCGAGTAGTTTTCGTTGCCTCTGCTAAAAGTACATCAGGCATATCTCTTAATGATGCCTTAAAGTGTGGTCTAGTTGTTCAGCAAGATTTATTTTCAATTCTCGTTCGCTTCCACAAGCATCAATTTGTCTTATTTTCGGATATAGAAAAAATGTTTCGGTAAATAAAGGTGGCAAAGGAAGACTGGGACCTATAAAGAATTGTTTGGAAATCCAGCCCTGAAGAGTTACTACGTTCATACCAGCTAACTACAGTCACGTATGGAACAACTTCTGCCTCATTTCTATCAACCTATTGTCTTATAGCATTCGCAAAGAGTGTTGAAAAGGAATACCCGAAAGCTTCAAAGGTGTTTGCCGAAGATTTTTATATGGACGATCTAATGACGGGGGTCGATACAGAGGATGATTGCTATCGGTTACAAATAGATGTTAGTTCAGTGTTAAACTCAGCAAATCTACCATTAAGGAAATGGTGTTCCAACTCCGAGATTGTTTTGCAAAACATATCCAAGTCTGTTGACGATCCTTTGTTCGTATTAGATATAGAAAACGATCAAAGACGGTCAAGTCACTAAAGTTACAGTAGAAACCAGTCGCAGACCATTTTCAATATGACATCGTAACTTTAAAATTATAAATATATATACATATTTCACCTATCTTAATTTTAATATTTTTATACAATTATTTTAGTTGATTCTTCTCAAATAAAATCCCAGATTGTTAAGAATTCAGGCGTGCAACAATATCATAAACAAAAATTCTATAGTGAAAGTTAGTATTGTATCATATATTTCAAATAATAGATGTTAAAAAAATACTTAATTTTATAAATTATTATTATATTAACTATACTTTTGTTTTATACTTATTACAGTATAATAATATATATTTATAATAAAATAAACTTTTAAATTGTATGTTATTATTTGTATTAATAGATAAAGTATATAATGAAAAATTGAAAAAACTCCATACAAATACTTCAGTTAAAAGAAAACTCTTTGGCAATATTGATACTGATAATGTTTCTACCGAAGGCAAATAATATTTTATTTAAAAAAAAAACCTATTGTTCTATTCTAAGAGTAATTATAATACTTTTAATACAATATCAATAAAATTATTTATTTATATATTTTAGATGATACAATCCATACTTAAGCATCTCCTTTTACAGTTACTCTGATGTCATCTATAAATTATCGAAAAAAAGTAAATTATATTTCATAATAAATTGTGTCTATAATTGATAAAAAATATTCAATTAAAAAATATTATTATTATAGATGATCTATTCTTATCAAAATTACCACGGCCAGAATCAACTATTTTGAAAAAAACTAAAAGTTATGAAAATCACAACATGGATCATAATAAATGGATCTTCAAATGTAAAGACATTCTATGTAAATTTAAACTGTATATACTTTGAAAATATGTTATAGAATCAACGAGCACACGACTAGATGACCAGACGAAAGATATATTTTGTAAGTATTCCATAGTTATATTTTTTTACACTCGATTTTTTTAGTTCTCGTAAGGTAGAGTATCAGCAATGTATATTACATTCGTTATTTACTCGTCATAAGGATCAAAAAATTAAAAACGTCAAACAATACAAAAAAAAGCAAAAAAGCCTGGTCAGGGCCAATTTAAGTAATAAAATATAATAAAATAAATAAATAATTATAAATATATAGAATAATTAGAATAATTAATTATTAGAATATATATAATGCTATTACTTTTCCTTCGTGTTTGTGCGTATGGTGTCCTCCTGCTTTTTCTTCGGGTACTATACCCGAATCAGTAATATCCTTGCCAATATTCATTGTCGGTCAACTGTTATGATTAAAACAATAAAAAATAAATACTTGAACGGAATCCGTGCGTGGTGCGAGCAACCAAACTCAATTAAAAATGTGTTCGAAAAGTTACTAAATAATATTAATACGAGAATAGTGGGTCACGACTGTCATTTTATCTTAATAAGTACATAATAATTATAGTGGTGTTGTCGCGTTTGGCGCATGGAGAGAAAGTCCACGGTACGTCGTTATTGATACGATGGAATCGGGAAAGCCCCTAACTATCGAAATCATCAAAAATTTTTCATTTCTATACTCCTTTTACTTCAGTTTGTGCATGCAGAACATAGGCGGACATTTAGTTGAATTTTCGGGGGGGGGGGGGGCTATAATAATTCAATGTAAAATGATCCGCAGGGGCTTCGCCCCCACACCTTCCCATACACAAGTAAAACTTATTACCATTAAAAATATAGATAAGTTTAAATTGTATTAAAAAAACACTAAATAACATATATTTAAAAATAATTAATATTTTATTTTAATGACAAATAACTATTTGTATTAGTAAAGATACTCAAAATATCATCGCTTTTTATATTTTTCGATATATCTTTTTCAATATATAGTATTGAAAAATTGCTGAACCTATCTTGAACCAACAATGTCCTTAGCCAAATATTTATTTTTTTCATTGCACTGAAACTTCTTTCGCAAGTAACCAAACTATGTAATTGGTATTGTTAGTGCTATTATAAATAGTTTTTTATTATTTCTTATATTACGATTTTCAAAAAAAATGAACACATAATTATAAATAAATTATAAAAACAACGAATAAAATTTCTAACAAAGTTTCGATTTTAGGGGACTATTAAAATATTTGGGGGTCTTATCCCCCCAATCCCCCCCTGATATCCGCCTATGATGCAGGACTAATCATTGATTAACTTTGTTGTATAGTAAGGGAACTTTCATTCTAAGACACAAATTGAAGAGACTTATACATTTGTACATAATGACTAAAGTTATCGCGGACCTCGAAAATGTTGAACAATAATAACATAAACGTTTATATGTATACGGACCTAATCTTGTGACGACGATATGACGGAATGACTATTCTGTATGAATTGTGAATAATATGGATACAGTATAAAACGAAAATAACAAACTCTTATATCATAATATCACCTTTGGGTAATTTTTTTTCTTATTTTTGCATCCGATTATTTTACTTGGACCGAATATATATCGATCATAGATTAAATTTAATAATTGGTATTATTTTGTTTACGTACTTTTGGAAACATGGGAAATTGTCTTTATTGAATTATTAATAAATCGAAAGTGGACAAATGGTCAAAATATATAAAAAAAATAGACTTATTGAGAAATATGTACAAATATTTAAAATAAAATATAGTTAATTTCATTGGAAATTTCTTGAAACGAATTTATCACTTACCTAAATTCATTTATCAAGTCACAGTAAAAATATGTGTAATGAGCCGCTCAGTTATTGCGACCGATTGGTTAAATCCGTCGATCACAAGTAACGTTATGAGTTCGCACTTTCGGAAGTCAATGAGGAATTTGTTGATTTACACAATTATTATATAAATTAATATACTATTTTTTCGTTGTTTAAAATGCGCGTATTTGGATTAGGCAACGAAGTTTGTACTTAAACATACAAAAAAATTGAAATGGACGTAAATTATGCATTAAATAAACGTAAATATCGTTTCGGTATTTTAAATTAATAATAAAATATTATTATGATCCTACATTGCTAAGATTTGAACTGTAAAACACTCATGATTTATCATGATGTTACATAACCATAATGTGGTAAATCGTTATATGATATTTATAAAGAATCTTGCGGTAAATCACGAAGTTATTAAATTAATTGTTGTAAAACTGAAAAAATGTATGAAAGTTAGCATAGAATATAGCTTTGGTAATTTAAATTAATATGGCGTATATAATTTAATTATATTATATTACCTTAAAAATGATTTTTTAAAACAGCTCTGCTGTTCAAATGTCTACAGTCGTAGGAAAAGTAAATTTCAATCCGATGGTATTACCACTAGTGATGGGCGCAATCGAGATATCTCGATTATCAAAATAATAATTCGATTATATACCCGAGATATTATTTTGAGTGATACTCGTTTATTTTAAAAACAATGAATTCTTGATTTCGAAATGCGTTTCGAATGAAAAAATATTTCTAATGATTTTCGTGGAACGAAGGAGTGAGGAAGGAATACTATTTTTAATCTTCATAGTCGAATTAGTAAATACTAGTTGTTCACTTTGATTTAGTATTTTCGACTCGTACTACTCGTGGGAATGGTTGTTGGACAAATATTTATATGTATTCGGTTATTCTTAGTTATTTATATTATCTATAGCTATAATTTTTGAATTACTCAACCACAAAACAACAAATATTTCTCAGAACGTTTATAAATAAAACTATGTATTTCAATTGAACATTTCGAATGATTATTTCAAGACATCTCGTGATCATAAAAATGTCTCGATTACTTATATTTTAGTAGTATGTATTCGTATGTTCTGGCTCCATTTTTTACAGGGAGATTCAAAATATTTGACCGACAGTCCCACGGTAAACTTTTTTTAGTTACTGTGCTCACGATTTTTTCAAAAACCTATATGTATGTTCTGGCTCCATTTTGTACAAAGAGATTCAAAATATTTGACCGACAGACACACGGTAAACTTTTTTTAGTTACCGTGCTCACGATTTTTTCAAAAACCTATATGTATGTTCTGGCTCCATTTTTTACAAAATATATGATCGACAGACACACGGTAAAATATTTTAAGATACCGTATAAAAATGTACATTAAATATTTTTTTCACATTTTTTTGTTTGACTAAAATAATTTTCACATTTATTTTTACACATTTTGATTTAACATTTGAATAGACTGTAAAATAATCCACGAACGTCACAACCATCGAATATTCGGATTCAGATTCGACTATAGAGGCATAAAAGAGTCGTTATAACGGCACACGTCGGATACCTAATAGTAAGCTGATATACTCGCGACGTCGAACTCTAAAGAGTCACTGGAACTTTGCCATCTGCACGCTAGACTCATCTTACCCATAACCGATCGTTTTTGTGGAACATGATCACAAATGATATTTTACGATTATACTAAAAGTCTATTGTAGGAAAATATTTTTTATATCATAGTGTAGCACTGTTTTATTTTCATTTTTTCATATATTATTTATTTATAACAAATATTTTTTTATATTAGAGTCAGTTCGCAAAAATCGTGAGCACGGTTACTAAAAAAAGTTTACCGTGGGACTGTCGGTCAAATATTTTGAATCTCCCTGTAAAAAATGGAGCCAGAACATACAAATACATACTACTTATTTTGATTATTGAAATCATTCGATTATGCCCATCACTAATCACGTATCCCGATTATTAATATTTTGAATGATTATTTCGAGACATCTCTCGATTATAAAAATGTCTCGAATACTAATAATTCGATTATTGAAATCATTCGATTATACCCATCACTAATTACCAGCGTACGCTGAAGCTTGCAACGCATTTTGACGGGGAAATACGCGGTCGTCAGTGGGGCAGCGCCAAAAAAACCCAAATGCAATCGCAAACGAAAACGCAAATAGACGGTGAAACAGAGATAGTAAATGCTATCGCAACAATAACGATCGGTGGTAAGACGTCGAAATACAAATAGTTATCACACTACTACACCTCGTTTACATCAGTGTTTACATTGCCCTACTAATAATAACAATATAGCCAGCAGCGTGAGCGCGATTGCGTGTTTACATTTTGCTTTATCAGTCAAAGAACTACGCTGACGTACTTTTTACATTTTATTGTTTTAAATTTTGGTGCTCAAATAGTTTGTTAAAATTTTCAATATGCAAGCTGATTGGAGCAATGAAACAACAATAAAATTTTTAGAATTTTATGAAGGTGAAAGAATTATATGGGATACAAAAGATAAAAACCATAAATTAAAGCACAAGGTACATGATGCATGGAAAAGAATTAGTTTTGACATGTCTATTCCGATTAATGAATTAAAAGCCAAAAAAAAGTCACTAATGACTACATTTAGCCCTCTAATAAAAAAGAAATAAGCATCAATAAGATCTGGAAAGGGTGCTGACGACGTGTTTCAGCCAATATGGTTTGCATATGATGTTATAGAGAGATTTTTAGGAACGAATTATGATGTCGAAGAAACAATAAATACCGAGATAAATACGGAAGATGAGGTAAGTGAAAATACATTTATTTTAGCAAACATAAGTGATAAAATATTATTATATTATACAGATAAAATATTATTAATTTTACATCAATAAATAAAAGTAAAAATTATGTGGAGTGCTTAATAATTAGTAATAATTCTGATTGAATTTCCATAATATTGCTTGATGTTCGTCTAGCCACATTTGGCCTTATACCTAACGATTCGGTGTGGTCTTGTCTCCAAGTGCCATTAACAAGTTGTTCGTCCGTTATGTAATCGAAAGTTCCTGGAGGTGTGTAAATGTTCCGAGAGGGTTCACTTTTTCTTAAAACATTATGCAGCAAAATACAAGTCATAGTTAAAATTGGTACATTTTTTATATTGATTTCTATCGGTTTCTTAAAAATTCGGTAAACAGTACCCCAATAATAATGTCAGTACCCCAAAAACATTTTTTACAATAACAGGAGTAGGTATTTGAAAGTTTTTGATTGAAAGTACGTTTAGCCGTGCTAATATCTTGGTTACCAGGA